ACGACCAGGGTTCAAACCCCTGCTCGATATTCGCCTAGGTCAGCCGAGTGTTCCATCCTCCAAGGACGATGTTTCAGGCTCGTCTGGAAGGATAAAAACACTGACATGAACATCGGCTGGCCAAGGTAGTTCATTGTATGGGCCATATATGATTTCGAAAGAAAGTCATCTCCGGGCGCATCCTTTAGACGGGATTGGCCAACGCCCGAAGACTTGATCCTTTTCAATGACGTTGACAGCTTCCTGATTATAAAAAGTTTCCTATCAGGCGCATTACCTTTCTCTACGGTAAACTCTCTTTTTCGGACCCGAAACTGCTGCTTTAGCGTCCGTTCAAAATGAAAGATTTCAGATGCGGTTCGCTCACCGATAAATGCAAACCAATCTATGCCATTAATATGAATGGGAAAGAAGAATGAAAAGGAGAAGAAAATTTATAACGAAATCGGTATAGATTTCAATTGGAACAAACGATTATTCGCTGCAATCTTTTCTCAGGGGCAACAGATCGCTGACAGCTGGAGAGAGAGAACTTGCTGGATGAGGAGTCGCTGGAAATCTTTCCGCTAACATTTGCAAGCTTCTTTTGTTCATTTTTAAGACGCAACATTCGGCCGTCCGTTTTTATTCTTTTTCAAAACAGTGAATCATTCCCACTTCGAACACCTGTTGGTGACGTAGTTGACGGCTGATATTGTGCGGTTCCGATTGACCTGTCCACCATTCATCGAATAACACTTAAGTTCATGAGTCAATGTAAACGAAACTTATACTCTCTAACAATTTTTAATTTATTCTTGCACTAATCGTGAGTGAACGGGAATGAATGCTGCTCATAAGGGGAGCACCAGGCCACAAATGTTCTGGACTCTGGTACGAGGAGTGCAATATTCAAAATTGGGCTGGACATGCAAAGATTTAAGTGTTTTTCAACCCAAACACAACTTCGAATAACTATTCAGCACTCAAAAACAGGAAACAGGGAAGAACAGAAAAAGGGGACGCCTGAATCTTGAATGGTCTGGAAAATATCAAGTAAAAAGAAGATAATGATTGCCGGAGTAAGCACTCGATCAATGAGAAAAATGCCAAAAAAATAGATGATCCATTCCTCTACCTTCGAAATACTGTACTCCGACGATATCATGAAACGATAGAAATATTTTGATTTTTCTTCCCATTATTTCACGACAGTACAACTTTGGTTATCATGCATTATGATGGAAATATCCTCTCTGAATATCCTTTCTTTCACTGAAATAAATGAAATTTCATACGATGGTTGTCATTGAACAGAAATACATTCTATTTACTCTATCAAGCTTTAAACCGCCTAGATTCACCCAAAAATAAATGCCTCAAAGTTCGGAGACGTGTATAGAAGATCTGATGATGCAAAGTACGAAGATCAGGTACCACGCCAGAGACGAGAAGGAACCACCCGCTCCACGATGTTTCCGAGACTGGTAAGAGCTGTTTCTTGAAACATGCGACAGCAGAATTTCGACGCAAAGACTGACTCTAGATGAAAGGTTGAAGAACTTCACATCGGGTTTTATGGGACGGAAGATATGAACAGGGGGAAGATCCCCTGAGTTAATCATGTCGATCTCAACCATTCATGGCAATTCGCAGTTCCAGAAGTTCTCTCGTGTGGACAGTTCATAATGGAATAAATTACATCGCCTTTATAGAAAGTTTTGCCTGATCAACGTCGCTGTCATTCCGAACTGCTAAGCGGAATCGGGAAGTCGGCGCAATAGTGAATGCGTAGAGAAAGAACTGCAAAGTTCGAAAGGCGAACCCTGAGATTGTCGTCTGTTGCGATCACTTAACTTTTTTGCTAGTTTATGGGAAGATCGCGTTATCGACAACATCGACGAGGAACATAGCCGGCTCGTCGAACATCCACACGATAGAGCTAGGAAGACAGAGAGTCTACAAGAATGCAGTTAAGAGAGGTCTTTCTTCGAAGACTTTCGAACTGATACTCCAGCGCAAGCTACCGTCAACCAACTCTTGAACTGGGAAAACTAGGCAGAATAGGAAGAACTGAGCGGAAGAAGAGCAGCAGTGATGAACGAAGTTGTCGAGACCGGGAGTAGCATTGGCAAAGCCCGCCGGAGCTTCGCTACACTGCGAGGCCAGGATGGCTTCCCTTCGTCCTCCTGACTGAACAGTTACTGCATCTCGAAGGGTAATAAAAAAAAGCTGTTCCACAGCCTCTTTTTATGTCTCGTTGACCGTCACGTCTTTCTGCCTTCCTACCATCGTATGCGAGAAGGATATGTCATTCCTTTAGTTCTCCATCCAAAATTCATCGACGGAGAATTGTGCGGCGCTCAGTCTAGATAGGATCAAACCACAACATCTAAAGAGTCTTCCATCAGTTATCGTCAGAACTTTGGCAGAGCTCCTCACGCGGTGCCTGTGAGAATGCAATGTGCCCACGTCGTGGAAAACTAGCAGTACTGTGCTGTATAGGAAACGAGATTCCAACGATATTGGCAACTATTGCCAATCTACCTGCTGTCTTTAATCTACAATTTTTTCAAACGCGGCAACCTTCACAAAATTGGCCGAGTATTAGATAAAGGACGGCCATGCGAGCAAGCAGGGTTTCGGGGAGGGTTCAGCACAATTGTTCACATCCACATTGTCATAAGACTCACTGATTCATCGTGCGAATACACGACACCGTCATGTCTGACGTTCACCGATTCGATGAAGACCTCCGATGCCGTCGTGACAGAAGCAGTAGCTGATGCCTTAGGCAATCGGAATCTTCCTACACAACATACAGGGATGCCCGGCGAGTTCTTCAAGACCAGGAGTTCGCCATCCTACAAGGATAAAACTTCAACGTGAAGCAAGGGTTCGGCATGGCGATACCTTTCGCGCTCAAACTTTTCGGTACCGCTCGCGAGACTTACGCCTCACTTGGAAGGAGAAGGTTGATAGTGAACGTCGACGGCCACTACTAACTTCATCTCCGCTATGCAGGAGACATCGTGCTTACAACACCGAACACCGATCAGGAGGAACAATGCTGGCCCAATTAGACAGCGCTTGTGGGAAGATTGGCTTGAGCCTGAACCTGTCGAAGACGATTCTCATGATGACAAGATTGGTACCTGCTGCTCTCTTAACGCCTGGAGGAACGCATATTTCTAAATGCTCCAGCTACGTATATCTAGGTGGAGATGTCAACATGATTAACGACATGGCTACAGAGCTAAGTGAGGTTCCCGCTAACTTGAGCAATATTTTGAATTGTCTGCTGTCAGAGGAGAGATAAATCGGAGAAGCATTTCAGTGTGCATCGAGGTCAAGTTGCTGAGTGACAAGGAATGAAAAGTTGCTGACGCGCCAACTGCTTTGTATAAGCTAATGACAAACAAAAATAAAAATGATTATCAAGATAGATAGACGAGACATTACGAAGATAAAGATAAGAATAAGAAAATAAAAAAGATATTACAAGATAGTATATAACGGGCGGAAATTTGGTAAAAGTAATGCTTAGGGTGCTCCCAATCGCAGAAATCCGCGAAATTCTATAAACGACATTACTAAATACATTAACCAATGGTAATTGTGAGATCCCTTCAGGCAGCAGTGCAAAACACGATACTCACATTACGAAGTTTCTTACGGACATGAGCTAAATTAATTTAAACCATCAATTGCAGAAGAGAAAGGTGGAAGACTTGAAATAGCAGAAATGAAAAAAAAACAAACAAATGACTTTTTAAAAAATATAGAAAACGCTTTCTGCTTTTGGCATCTGCTATACAAGTATTTATAAAAAAAAATGATCGTCATTCTTTTTCATGGTACCAGACCGGTTGCGAACACGACTTCATAACCTGAGAATTCCCATTGCCAAGTTAATTGAAAACATGATTAGCGCAAAGCTTGTGGTGCGGATCGCGCTCATCATGTTTTCAGTAATCTTGACAATGGGAATGCTCAGCAGATGATATGCCCTCGTACGGCTGAATACACTTCCATGTTAGTATTCTGATAATGCACTAGCCAATTCTTATAAGTGTCACACACAAGGATATGGATGAAGGGAGTGTATTGTAAGTGCACCGCATGCGTGATTTGCTCGAACGCTGCTACTGTTCTGGTATCGAATCATATTAGGACGCTTGTTTCAGAATCCCCCTGACCGCATTATACTTTAAATATTCATACCATCCATCAGTTAGGCAAAAGCATTCAATGAGTATAATAGCGATTATTATCCATCCTAATATCTTGCCGATTTACCTGTACCGTTGTGATGCGCCTCTCAACTTTCTTGAAGGCGTGCATGCGCATAATCCTCTACCTTGCGCTCAAACG